GGTGACAATGAAGCAGAGATTTAAAACTTTCTTCCATCCACTTCTCCATCTGGCTCTTTCCCTAGATTTAATTATTTATTTAAATCATGCACATGCATACATCACACAGGCTAGTAAACACACAAGCCGAGTTACACAAAAACACTTTACTTTTAATTTTGCAAGTCTTGTTGCAACATGAGCACGGTGAAATTATGTTATATAGAGAAATCTAAGGTGACCAATTTGCTGCAGATTTTATTTTTTAAAAAAAATATATTTTTGTTTCCATATAAAATGTTAAATGAACCAGACTCATTTTCTTAGTCAAATAGCAACAGCATTTAGGTTTATATACTGCCACATAGTGCTTCACAGCACTCTCTAGGTGATTTACAGTGTAGAGCAGGGGTGTCAAACTCGTGGCGTTACAGCAAAGTCACATGACATATCACAACTTTTCCCCCCTTCACTAAACCGGGCATGAGCGTGGCCAGTGCATGATGCATCTGGGCCGCGGACCGCAAGTTTGACAGCCGTGATGTAGAGCATTATTTGTATATTGCCCCCAACAATCTGGTTCCTCATTTTACCATCCTCAGGGGATGGAAGGCTGAGTCAACCTTGAGCCCTATCAGGATTAAACTCCCAGAGTTTGCTTGCAATAGTGCACTTCAATCAGTGCGCCACCAAGACTGTTCTTCAAATGCAGAAGGGAATCTTATTAAGGCTATGTAGCACTTCCTTTTAATATATTTAATATATTTAATTCAAAGCAAAATGTCCAGTAGCGGAAATTTTGAGTAGTTTGGAGAACTGGCAATTACCATCTCTGGCTGGCCCCAGAGTGGGGTGGGAATGGAGATTTTGCAATATCCTTCCCCCAGGAGTGGGTAGGGAATGGGGATTTTACAGTATTCTTCCCCTGGAGTGAAGGGCCTGCTGTATTTTACCCCTGGAATGAATGCAATAGCCAACTTTCCCATTGAAATTCAGTTTCACACTCAGCTCTGTGCTAATTCCACAAACACTTAATAAAACCATGTTTCAACTGGTTCCTCCTTGAGGATAAGAAAGACTAAGTAACTGCGGTATAATTAATGTCCAAAGCCTTCCTTTTTCATTATGTTCTGCTAGATTGGTTGGGTTCCAATCTAGAATTCTTAACTAATAAGACCAATAGCTATTTGAAAAATCTATGAGTTGCATTTCCAAAGAAACTGAAGGATGCCCAAATTTCAAAATCCTAATGCTTGTTCCTATTGGTCAGTTTCATAAAAGACATATTGTATAGGTAGTCGGATCATATTGTATAGGTAGTTGTCAATTTATAACCACAATTGGGGCCAGAATTTCTACTGCTAAAACAAGGCAGTTGTTAAGTGATGCCTGATCTTATCCTTTTTGCCATAGTTGTTAAGTGAATCATTGCAATTGTTGAATGAATTTGTTGTGCAGTTGTTAAATTAATCCATTTTCCCCATTAACTTTGCTTGTCAGAAGCCAGGTGTGAAGGCTACAAATAGCAATCACATAACCCCAGGACGCTGCAATCATTGTAAATGCCAAGCCAATTGCCAAGCACCCAAAATTTGACCTCATGACAGTGGGGTTGCTGTACCAATAAAGGAGAATATTTGAAGTTCAGGGTTGGAATGAGGGGGTCCTTGGTGCTGTCTGAGCTTCCTTGTTTTTTTGTAGACGTTTCATTACCAAATTAGGTAACATCATCAGTACTAGTCATAAATGCAGGGATTGGTTTCTTTCTTCTGTTGCTAAGTTTACATGGTTGGTAAAACAAAGTGTTGCGAGTCAACAATTATTTGTTAACTACATATGATTTAGTTGATTGTACAACAAAAGTAGGTTTGTACATCAAAATTGCAACCCCACAAGAGGTCTGCAATTTCTTCCAGAATATGGATCGTAATCTATTTTCCACTCCAAATGTTGTAAACATTTTTCTTTTATTTAAAAAAACTCTGTATGTTCCATAATGCTGTAAGAAGGGGGCCACATCTGTGTCCTTGTGCTTGAAAGGCAGCATATTCATGGTTGAGTTAAAGCTGTATCCTTGAAACTAAAATACAATACCAATGTAAAGCAGTCATTGCTAAGGATATAAAATGCTTATCCTTATTGCAACTTCTTCTTTTTTTTCCTAACTCATTTCTCTAAATAAATACAATGACAACTTTTAATGAAAGGGAACAAAGAAATTGAGAAAAATTGGATCATCCGTGAACAAGTGTTCTGCCTACATACACCCTTACCCACATAAATACATTAGCTTGGCAAATACTACGATATAGAAAGATTTATTTCTTTATTCTTGACCTTAGCAATATCTTTCAAAATAGGATTCACAGGGATTGCCTCTCAAGATAAAAGCATCAGTATTTGTCAGTGAAATACTTTGTAACAAAATGTAAAGGCAATAAAAGATTTTTATACTGTTTGTTTGTTTTGTGTCTTCCCATCAGTTTACCTATGATGACCATGTGGAGATGTCCCTAAAGGTGTTTTTTTTTTTTTGCAACTTTGTTTTTTTTGTTTGTTTGTTTTATTTTATATTTTTTAACCGCCCATCTCTCTCCCACTGTTTGGAAGGGTGTTGCCATTGCCTTCTTCCTAAGACTTAGAAAGGGAGAGTCTCATCTAAAGCAGCGGTCTCCAACTTTGGCAACTTAAAGCCTGGCGGACTTCAACTCCCAGAATTCTCCAGCCAGCTTGCTGGCTGGGGAATTCTGGGAGTTGAAGTCCGCCAGGCTTAAAGTTGCCAAGGTTGGAGACCCCTGGTCTAAAGGCACACAATAGGATTCATGTCTGAGGCAGGACTAGAATTTACAGCTTCCCAGTTCATTTAACCTCTTCTTCAAACGAGCCCTTTTTATAAATTGCAAGCACCACAATGTATAATCTACTTCTGAGTAAAGGGTGTAGTGACTAAAATACTTAGAATAAAATTGGGTTCAGAATTTCCATTGCCAAGGAATCTGGTGGTAAAGCACTGCAACATTGCTTAGCAGTCACAATCCATGCAGTCCTGGCTTTCATCACTAACTGAATCCCTTGGTCCTTTGGCGAGGCAACTTCCTGCCAGCTTCTCACAACCAAACTCAGTAGGGAAGCTGGCAGGAGCTTGCAACTCTCAGGCAGGGTGAGGAAGGAAGGAGTGGGGGGGAGGGTTGGAGAGGATGCAAGGGGATGCACAAGAGGCATGGCACAGCTCAGAGAGGCTGCACGAGGGTGTGAGGGTATGTGAGAGGTGCAGTGCAGGTCAAGGAGGGTGCACAAAGGTGTGAGGAATTGCATGAGAGGTGTGCCACGGGTTGTGGAGGGCATGCAAAGGTGCAACAGAGGGTCTGGCATGAGTCAGGGAGAGCATGTCAGGATGCACAAATATGCAAGATGATACTTGAGTGTGCAGGGAAGTCACAGTGAGGGTTAGGTAGGTGCCTGAGTTGGGGAAGCCTTACCCCAACAACATAGGAACTTTCCTGCCTGCTTCCCCATTAACTTTCTGGGGAAGATGGCAGGGAAGGCTGCAAATGGTGATTATGTGATCCTGTGATGCTACAACCAATCTTAAGTGTAAACCAGTTGCCAAATGCTCAGATTGTGATCTTGTGGCCATAAGCATGCTGGGATGGCCAAAACTCCAAGGACCATTTGTAACCACAGTTTGTTCAGCACCATTGTAACTTTGGATAGTCACTGAACAATTGGTCATAGGTTGAGGACTTATAACACGTTTTACCTTTGAGAGATAAGATGCAAATACTGTAATCCTGTACTTGTTACTAGAGCAAGCGGAAATATTTTCTACCTGGTGAACACTTATTTGTCTCCCCTACTCATTTCTCTTTTTAAAGTCATGGCTTAGCAATGCTATGGCAAACCCAGAACCCTCAAATTATAGTTTTCAATCTCAATATAGTTGAGATTTTAGAGCACAAATTGCAAAAATAAAAAATAAAAAATTGCAATTTGGTGACATAAGATTTTGGCCTATAGTTATCATGCCATCCTAAAAGATTGCTGAATCTTGTTGCAGTTTGTAATTCTCAACTACTCTTGAACTCCATTCTACAATTACTCAACCCTGTAAAGGAGATTTGAGATGTTTATAACATTAACAACTGCTAACTTTGTGGAACAATCCTGGAGATGGAAAATACAGTCTTATTTTACAAAAAATAAATGCTTGTTGCCAGCTTCATCTCCAATTTCCATCATTTCTCATACAGCATTTCTAATCAACCAATTTTTATTTAATTATATGCTTTGTTTTGATTTATGTTTTATTTTAATATTGTATGCCATCTTTCAGGATAGGAAAGCAATTCAGGGAGATAAAGTAAAATATAAAAATATAAAGTTTACATTTAAACATTAAAACTAGAACTGTAACATAAAATAATTCCAACACAAAACAAAACCACAATTTGCAATACATAATAATATCAGATAATGAAAGACAGCAGTTTAAAAATCCAGCTAAAAATCAGATGGAACAGAAAAAAAAAATTAAGAGGCAGCCAATCATGCATCTCTGGGAAGGATTTCCAGTGAAAGTGGGCTGCCATTAAAAAAGTCTTCTCCATTGTGATGGTGCTTTAATTGGCATCTTTTTGGCCCTTTTCGAAAACTAAAATAAATGCCATGAATGGCAGATTTTGAACAGAAGTTTAGTGGACCAAACACATTTGTAGGGTGATAAGGTGAGAGATTTGCATGACTTGAAATCACAAATATATATATCCTTGTTCACACTAAAGTTATGCTGATGCTGAGATGTCACTCTGGATATTTCAGAGGCTTTTTTGTGGGTGGAATAAAGTTAACTTTGGAGTAAAACCCTGCCTCTCAGTTCTCCTGCAGTGAACAAGAATATGCCCACCGTTCTGCAAAGTGCTATTTGTCATTTCGAAAACCAACTTGTTTGACATCAAGTATTGTCTCTAGTAAAGTGTTTTCCCTTCCTCTTTTCTCTCTTCCTTGTCCTTTCTGGCTATTAGTCTGAAGTGTCCTGGATACCCAACAAACACTATTCTGGCATCTATGGACTGATGAAGCTGGTTCTCACGAAGACACTTCCCGCCAATCTTGAGCGAGTCATTGTCCTTGATACTGACATTACCTTTGCTACAGACATTGCTGAGCTTTGGGCTGTCTTTCACAAGTTCAGAGGTACTGTAATGCCTTTATTTCTTATTATTTGCGTTAATATTCAGGGTTTATAAAGTTGTTTAAAGTTTGAGCCTGAACTTTGAGCCTGACTAGGTGGCTCAGTGGCTAAGACACTGAGCTTGCCGATCAGAAAGGTCGGCAGTTTGGCAGTTCGAATCCCTAGTAGAGGTCTTCTGCGTGAGCAGGGGGTTGAACTAGATGAACTAGGTCCCTTCCAACTTTGTTACTGCTACTGAGGTGTCTGTGCCCTTGCCTGGTATTATTTACTCCTTCCAGACTGTTATCTATTAATTTACATTATCACAGTTAATTAGAAAACCTCTGGGAATGTATTTGTACATGAGGTGTCTCCAGTGAGAAACAGCATAAATAGTAAAGTGTAACTATTTACAATTGCATGTACTGTTGTTAGCCATTATTGCATCTAAGATTGCAGTGATTATTATAGTGGCAAAGCTGATGACTGAAGGAGGAGGATCAATTCAAAACTGGTTGTAAGGACAAGCAACGCAATTACAGAATCAGAATGACAAGATGAAGTCAAAGTACTGAATAGCGTTCCTGCATTGTCTTGCATAGCAAGTAAGATGTAGACCTTTAAGTGTAATACTTGCTGAAAATCAAGTATTATTTGATTAAAATCTAAAAATGCAATAGCAGATTTTTTTTCATCTCTTCACCCACTTCCCTATAACCCCATGAATATTCTGGGATGCTGGAAGGCTTTCTGGAACATATTTTTCAGGAGTAAATGGAAAATCTGCTTCACCCCCCACTTTCCCCCAAATCACCTTTTTTCTTACTTGCACTCTCATAAAGTAGTAAACTGTTTTAGACAGAATGAACAAGAATGTTCGTTGGAATTGTTATCAATTATTAATTTTGTTGGTAGTGAAAATATCCATGAAACTGTTCCAGTAAAGCTATCCAACTATATACATTCTGACCAAAGAAATGTTTTTTAAGCAAATGGATGAAATGCACTCATACTAAATTAATGAAAGGATTATCTCATTTATCTGCATTTGCAAATATCATATTGTTAGGTGCATTTCATCTGTCTCTTTTAAGAGTAATAATACCCCCAGTAAGACATAACCTTGACCTGGTTGTGGGGCATAAGGAAGATGAGAGCTATGCCAGAAGTTTAACCTTACTAGAAAGGTCTCATCAGAGGAGCCAGACAAAAAGTGTGCTTTCCATAAACAATCTGGTGAGACATAACTTACAGAAATTTGTACTGGATTGGTCATTGTCTGGATCAACAAGGACCATACTAGGTGTTGGAGTTTCTGGACATCTGTTGACAAATGGGCTACAGGACTCAGGACTCTTGGTTGAGCAACCAGGGTCAGCAGCTGCAGGAAGAAAAGTTCCTTCTTTGTCACAAATATACAAAGACTGAAAACAAAAAAATAAAGATTTGCTCTCATAAATCAAGTCCAATGAGAAGAGATATCTGAAAAAAAATTGCCAGTTATGGAAAGAACAACATCCATAACATTCATAACCAGAAGTAAGAGAACAGAGACTAGCAGATCAAGGTCAATTTATAATACAAAATAAAGTATTCACAGAAGCAGAGTTGGAAAAATTGCAAAGGGCAAAGAAATCAAAGCCTTCTCAGAGGTAGCTCAGACAGTAGAGACAAAAAGGGGGAGTCAGCAGTTGACAAAGCCAGTATAGATATTGAAACATTTTAATTCCCAAACTAGGCATCCTCTCTTCTGCCTTCTTTTCAGAAAAAAAAAAAAAGCTCTATAACTAAAAAGACAAGAGGAATTGAAACAAAGAATAACTGAGCTAGAAGAGTATAAAAGCAAAAGAATAAGGTTGCCTACATTGAAACTTGTCACTAAAAACAGCTAGCACTAGTATTAAGAAATGCCAATACTATAATATCAAATATAAAGAGGAGGAAAAAAAGCCCCAAAGTGCATCACTAAAATCAGTTTGGAAAATAAGATCAGCATGCTAAGATCAGGTACAAGCAAACTAGAACAAATAAAAAAAATGAAGCTGACGAACAAGAATAAATAATAAATAATATCTGATTAATAAGTATCACTTAATGACAAGGAATATCACAGAAGCACTAGAAATAATAAAGCAATAAATAAAAATCATAGCCAAGAAAATCAGCAGATTTAAAGCTCCAATTGTGCACGCTATAAGGAAGAGTCTCCGATTTAAATTGAATCAGAAACATTTCTGTCAATGCATTTATGGAACACTGCAATGAACCAGTCAATACTTGACTAAGAAGAAACAGTACAGTTCAAATTAAATTAGGAGCTCTGAATATGAAGATCAGAAAAATTGTGACAGAGACACGTCATTTTCCAGGCAGAGATGTTAAAATACCCTATTTATCAAAGGAAACAGATGGATGTGGAATGTTACAAATACACCAGACAGAAGAAGAAAGTGGAGGAGGAGGAGGAGGTGGTATTGGAAGAATATGTGAAGGACAGTGAAGAAGATCCGCTGAAGTTAATATACTAGGAAGACTTACTGAATACTGAAGAGACCAGTCTGGTCCATAAGAAAAACCAAAGGAAGAATAGTTTAAAAAAACTTAGCAGGCAAACCAGATAACAACAAGACCTGGCAATGACTAAGTGCAAGAAAGTTGAAAAGAGAGACAGAGGGCCTAATTCTGGATGCATAAGATCAAGTCTTAAAAACCAATGCATACAAAGCCAGAATTGAGAAGACAGCAACAGACAGCAAATGCCACCTTTGCAAAGAAGCTGAATAAACAATGGACCACTTTATTAGCTGCTGTAAAAAGATCACACAGACTGACTACAAATAATTGCATGACAAAGTAGCAACAATAGTGCGTTAGAATATCTGCAAGACATACCATTTGCCCACCATCCAGAAAACCAGAAAATACACAAAGTAATAGAAAATGTAGAAGTTAAAGTTATCTGGGATTTTAGAATTCAACCAGACTAGCATCACATAACACTCCAGACTTAAAAACTGTTAATAAGAAAAAAAAAATCTTGATAATGAACATTGCAGTACCTAAAGACAGTACAAGAGTAGAGAAAAACTGGCGAAAACCACAAAATACAAAGACTCACAAATAGAAGTAGAATGACAGTGGCAAAAGAAAACAAAGATAGTACCAATAGTAACAGACAATTTGTATGCAATACAAAAGCACCACTTGGACACCATCAGCATTGACAAAATCGCTTGCAAAAGGCAGCTTTACTTGGAACAGCTTACATCCTATGATATTACCATTAATATTAAGCAACATAATCTGCCTATCCTAAATCCTTGGGAAAGACTCAATAAATGGACAAAATGTCTTGTCCAGTCTAAACATCTGGCTAGGTGTGTGACCAACCATAATTTATTATTAAAATTATGTGCCACCCAACTCCCAGTGACCCTAGGCTGTTCACAATTGTTAAAACATTTTTAAAAACAAAGAACAATACAGAAACATAAAAACAACACAAGTCGAAAGGACAAGAATGGCAGGGGAGAACAGAAAGGAAAAAGGGGGCATCAATCATCTTCTCTAAAGGCCTGGATGAATAGCCAGATCTTGAAGGCATTTGAAATCCCAGTAGAGTTTGAGCTGTTCAATTTTTTTTTGAGGGGGGGAGGGGGGACTTGAATATTTCTACCTTGCTTTTAGAACTTCAGTCCTACTTCTGGATTTTGATCAAAACATCTTAATGCAGTTTTGAAAGATTGTCAACTTAACACACAAAGATGGTAATACTGTCGTTAAAAATAGTTCCTTCTCTGCAGGAACTTGACTCTCTAATGCTTCTATTACTGAGGGCTATTCTATATCACTGACTTTCAGTCAGTCACCCAGCTGTTGGCAATAATTGTCTAGTTCAAGTCTTGTCCAATTTGATATTGCTTGAATTGTGAGAAGGATTTTCACAGCAGGGGATGCAGGGAGAAGGTAGAACTGTCTACCTAGAAGAGGCAATCTGCTTGTCCTGGTCGCACCATACCTTAGGGATTCTTGTAAAATATTTTAAAATAAATTTAACTGATTTGCATTCGAACTTAGATTTATGAATGTTTTACTCAAGAATCTTGTTTAGGGAACTAAAATTAGCCACCAGCTGCTATTCTCTAGCTGGCTGGACTGGAGATGTTTGAAAAATTAATTTAGAATATCAGTTACTTATGATATAACAACACTGATGTTTTGCTAAAATACATTTTAACTATAAAACAGTATAATTTCTGTGGTGCTTACCTGGAAATAGAAGCTAAAATAAATGTTCCTTATTTTATTTCAAGATGTGATTTTGAGGAATGGTTGTTACTTTTGAAGTACCGGTATCAGGAAAAAGATATTTTGTATGGTCTCTGGGAAGGTCATTGCACAGTAGGATCCAACATGTATTCCAATAAACAAGGATGAATTCCTTCAGCAGATATGGGAAACCACACAATTACCATGTCAGAGGCATTTCTTTGTGCTGGACTGATTGACATGGGCCATCCATATTTCTGATCCTCTGAGCCATTGAAGAAAACGCTAGTTAATCATTCTGAGTTCTCTAATGGCAACTGATATATAGAATCCTTGCTTCAGTTTCCCTCCTTGACAGGAACTTTTATGTTAGAGTAGCATCCTAGAAACATATGAGAGAAAGAGACTATTATAGAGGTCAAAGGCAGAAGAAGGAACTTTAGTTCCTGTTCTACAATTTAAACATAGATGGGAGGAATTCCACACAACAGACCTGCTGCCAAGTTGACTAATTTGATATCTGTATATAAAGATTTAAAATTTTTGATCCCAAAAACTCAAAACAGTTTCATATACAAATGGGTCTTTTGTACTAATAGGTGTTAATTATTGTTCTAATTCCTTATTTTAGTCCTCATCCTATGTATTTTTTAAACAGTACAATTTTGCTTAGAACTTCAGAATTATGTACAAGTTATTAAAACAAAACCCTTACTTAAAAAAAATAAAATAAAAACAATAGTCCAAGAGCAGG